CAATTTAATTAATAAAAAAAATTTTTTTCTTATGACGCTAATGTATGTATTATTATTCTGATTTTGGTAAAGTCGGTTATTTTTGCTAGGTGAGTATACATTATCAACTAAAAGAATGATTTTTCAATTTTTTTGTTTCATTTGATTATTGAGTATAAGAAGAATCTCATTAAAGATACTAACTTGCATCCAGGCTTTTTTTATTTTAGAAATAATAAACAGGAAGATTTTTATAATTAAGATTTTTTCATTACATAAGGTGATTTATATTAGTAAATAAAGGTAAGATTCATTGTTTCAGTACCGATTGAATTTGTAGCATAAAGTATTGTAATGCATACCTTTTATTTTTTATGTTCAGCTACTTTAGAACGAGCTAAAGTTTGAGAAGGTTCCATTTTCCAAAAAAGATCAGTTTCATTAGCATTCCAAATATCTTCAGGTCGATAAGGTCTAAGTAGCTGTTGTAATATGATTCTATCATTTTCTAGTGATTCAGCAGAAGGAGCACTTGCTGATTCACCTTGCTTTTTAAATTGTCAAAGTCCATGCCATTTTTTAAATCCAGTGAGCCAACCATTTGACTGGTTAAAATCATCAATATGAAGATTATTAGCAAAAAACTGTGCTTTCATTTTAAGAATATGACCGTCGATATTTTGATTTGACATAAGAGCGTTATTAACCCAAAAACTAAGAGCACTTTTAAGTTGTGGCCATTTGGGATTACAAAATTTTTTAATATTTCCTTGCTCTTCAGTTGTAATAGAAAGCCAACGCTCTTTTTCTCTTAAAATATCCATAATTGTTGACTTTCCAATATTAAATTTGTTGGCAAGTTCTACATTGTTAATATTTGGATTTTTTTCCTTGATTTCGCAAATTTTTTGTTTATGTGCAGCTGAAAGATTAACACGCTTTCTTTTTAACAAGAAAACCAAGTTTTTAAAAGTAAAATTATGGCAGAGTGAAATTTTCAGTAGGCAAATGTTTTATATTTATCAGAAATGACCAAATAATTAATTAAACTTTGATGATTATAAGCCTCTTTTTTGCTATAACAACTTATTAAATAATCAATTTTTAATAAATTTAATTGTAATTTATTGATAATCAATTTTTGTTCGATATATAAAGTATAATAATAATAATAGTGGACTGGTTAAATTTAGTTCAGATGCAGTATATAAAAATTTATTAAGTTATTTTATTATAACCAGAATTGATAATTATAGAAAATTCGATTCTGATATATTTAGTTCGTTATAGCCAGATTTCGGTATATACAGATTTGTTATAAACAGAGTCGACTGTACATGACGATTTTTTTTTCTATGTTAAAACCTATTTATCTGACTTTTCGGTAAGGTTGCTCAATGACCTATGTTTTTTTATTACCCTTTTTTTACTTTGAGAATCAGAATCTGGCTTCTGCACCTCCTCCAATAACCATGCAATATGCCTGAGAACTTTCCTAACCATGTTTCCATATATATACAATGATCACTAGCTCTGATAGTTTGAATCTTAGCCTGTCTTGATCATCAAGTGAACATTTCAAAAAATACCATTTTTTCACATCTGTGACAATTCTGAATACCCTACCTACAAACATACTATCTTCCTTCATCTCACTCGCCTTACATTTACAGTTTAATAAAGCTGACTCAAGCTGAATGACATTCTGAGCAATACCCTTGAAAAAATCTTCATCCTTTACTTCCGTTATACCAGCAGTTTTTGCTGTTCAAAGTAGATCTATTGCAAAATTGACTGGTCTGTGTTCATGAGACCCTGAGATATTTTTTTCTGATCGAAGCTCAAACTTTCCCTTATATAGATTTACCCTGATAATAAGGTACGAGCAAAACATACTGTGATTTCAATGCTTCATTCTCACTGATTGGAATGGATTCGAGTTGGGCCTCCAGTTCAGTTATAAGGTTTTTAAGTAATACCTGAGAAGGTTCGTCTTTTAGATCTTTGCACCTGCAAGTGAAAGGCAGGAATACTGACAATGATGGATTATCTGATTCTCTAAGTCTGTAAAGCTGACACATTTTTGAGAATGTTCAATCTGAGAAAGCTTTTGAGGGGTTTCTATAAACACGACAAGCCTGAAATTGTTCTTCAATACGAACTACCAGAGTATTTTACTGAAGTCTTGATCTTTTTGAGGTGAGTATCTCTTTACTTCATACGTAAAGTTTAGCACAGAGCATTTTACTGAAGTTTTGATCTTTCTGAGGCGAGTATCTCTTTACTTCATATGTAAAGTTTAGCACTGCTCCATCATTTTCAAGGGCTGGCAACCCAAGGTTCATTTCACATATAGAATTTTTGAGCCCTTTAAGGGTCGCTTCTTCAATGTTTATGATCCAGTTGAAACAATTTGTTCATTTCAGGCTAATAACAACAATAAACTCTGTAATGCAACGGCTGGATTAGAGGCTGGTAAATACTTTTTGAGGAATTTGAAATGAATTATCAGGCTATATACTATATTCAGACTTATTAAGCAATGCTTTTAATGTTACAATTCAGTTAAGCAGTTCCTGTTCATAGCTTGAAGCGGTGGTGAAGAGACTATGACATAAATATGTTCCTTAGAAGGTGAATCAGAAAAGTATTTTGAAATCTTTCTTATTGCCAACAGCTTATCCCTCTCTGAGTGAAAGGTTGCTTAAGGGATCTACATGATCGTTAGAGATTGGCACTTTCTATAGCTTGAATTTGTCTGCCTTTACATTATAAAAAGTTTTATGTTTTTCCACCTTAATAGCTTTCTTGAGGTGGCTAACCAATTTTTTCCTATCATATCTATGGTAAAAGTACTAGCGGTTGTATTTCTTTTAACAAGATATAGTAAAGTAATAGACATGTTTTCAGCTTATATAGGGGATGACTAAAGCAGGAGCAAATCACGTGATACAAACGTGATTGGTCAGAAAATAATGAACAATTATTGGTTTAATTAATTGAGGAATAACATTATCATGCATTATTATTGTGATATTTTTTTTATTTTTTTCTGTGTGAAAAAATTTCTCATTATTTTTTGTAGGTTTTTATTTTGTTAAAACAAAAAAAACCTATATTTTCCTTGCTTTTCATGGTTTTTTTCTTGTAAAATAAAAAAAAAATATCTTTTTCTTCTTTTTTGTGAATGAAATACAAAAATCCTACTTTTCATGGGTTCTTTTATAAAAAAAAATCCTATTTTTTTTCTTCTATTACTTTCATGAGCTTTTTTTATGAAATAAAAAAAACCCTTCAATTTTTTTTTCTATTATGTCTGCTATTTCTTCTACATCAGCTATTACCTTTGTGCCTTTAATCGTTACATCATCTGCTCCTTTAGTTATAATATCAATATCAAATTTCACACTAGATGAAAAGCGAGTTTTTCTTTTTGATGTAAACTGTTCTTTAGAGATTCCAATGGAGAATTTTAACAATAACTGGTAGCCATTGATTTCAAATGTTTGGTCAAAATGGGACTCATATGAATATATAAATAGTAATGTTCAGAAAATTTTCACTTGTCATTTAATGAAACTCTGAGAATCAAGTATCTGACAAAAAGAAAATGTTCTGAATGAAAAATGCTGAATAATCAAGATACGCCATTTGGTCTATGTCATGCAAAGATGAAAGTTTTTTAGATAGCTTCTTCGAAGGTAGTTTAAGTAGAACGATCTAAAAACTCTCCTAACCATACACATTCTTTATTAGAAATCAATAGGATAAAACGGCCAAAAGCTATTAGAAATTTAGTTGAAATAGAGGCAGTCAAAAATTATTCACCTCCAGCAATCATATCTGCCGTCAAAGAATATGCAACATTGAAATTAGGTCTTGGTGAATGTGCATATGAGTTGAAATGTAAAAAAGTGAAAAATATCAAGTATAAAGTTCGTGAGCCTATGGATACTCATCTTATTGGAAATCTGATTTTAAAATTAGATATTTTGGAATCTATTTCTTATTTAAGAGAATATGGGTAACTTGTTAAAAATTATCATGTCTCCCAACGATCTACTAAAGATTTGTATTTGCGCATTCTGATTAACTAAAGAAGCTTGAATGTCATGGGTAGTTAACACTTATAGATTCAACACATAAGACCAACCGTTATGACTGGCAACTATTTACTCTTTACGTTTGTAATACTTACAAATGCTAGAATGTAGGCGCTCATTTTTTTGTTAGTAATAAGGATGCAGATACAGTAGCAGAAGCGTTAATAATAATCTGCAATAAGTATTGTAGTTGGTCCCCCAGTTACATACTCTTAGATCAAAGTAACATTAAGACCAAGAGCATTAAAAAAGCTTTTTCTGGTGAAACTGGCAAAAATTGATAAACCTGTCAAATATGACATATATGCCAGATCTGCCAAATCTGCCAAATCTGCCATATCTGCTAAATAGAATACACATATTATTTATTATATTTCTATTATTTATATCATTATTATTATTTATATCATATCTAATATAATTAGTATATCTGTTAGCTCTGTTATTATTGTCAGTGGTATCATATTTACTATAGATTTTCTTAATTATAATTTTCCTATATAAAGGACATAAAAATGTCTTAAAAAAAGAACAGATTAAAAACAGATTCCAATAAGTTCTTACATTGTATTCAATACACACTTAATAACAATAATAAACACATTTAACATTTTGCAAACCTAAAACTTATAATTTATTCTTGTTAACTAAATAAACTCTCTAATAAACAGCGTGTCAAGTTAATTGGATTTAAGTCATAGCTGTTGTCTCACTGATTTCAAATCATAGTTAACTTATTTGACGAAAAGAGTAATGTTAACACTAGTATAGTTGCTGATGAGCAAGAATACCAAATTCTCCTTTGTGTTGTCCATGTTATGAGAACATAGATGCAAAAAATTTACAAAAAAAAACTTGTGATATCATAATTGCGACGATGTACAAAAGAACAAAAATTGGATGTGAAAGTCTCATTCGGGATGCTATCAATGGTTGTTCAGTTCCTGCCATAAAAAATTATATTAAAAGAAATTACATGAAAAATACAGAGAAATGGAGCTTATGGGCTCGTCAACATTCCCCTCTCCTTTTACAAATCATGTCTACGAATCCGCTAGAATCTTTTCATAGTAAATTAAAAAGAATAACATTATCATTACATGGTTTGATTAGTACATGATGATTTTCTCTGATCATTTTACCTGTCTACTCAGCCTAAACCTTTTTACTTTAAGTGCTGTTCACGAAATTGCTGACATTGATCGCAAAAAAAGATCTAAAGTTGAAAGTATTTTCTTTAACTTTTGTATCAAGAAAGCATCTGCGTATAGTGTTGATAATGATATTCTTGAAGAGATCCATAAGTTCTCCTTTCCCTTTCAACACCTAATCATCAAAGAAGCCTGTGTTGTAATGGATAGACTTGAAAAAGGAAAAAATGTACTGGATCTAACTTCTCTTGATTATTACTGCTTATTTTGCCATTAATATTTATTACTATGCAAGCATATTTTTTATGAACATATGTATGGCAATAAATTATTGACCGCTAATATATAGTAAATGTTTCACAAAATTTTTGAAGAAAGCAGGTTTGAGATATATGAAAGCTGAGAATTTTTTATAGAATATGTGCAAACAGAGCAACAAAAAAGCGCTAAAAATCAAAGACTTGCTATGGCTGAATTAACCAAAAGAATGCGCGATCGATACTGGTATATTGAAGAGATAGGTGATATTGAGAGGATGCAATCTTTTATCTCTAAATTAGAATCCTCTATAAATTCGATTATTTTACAATTTGATAAATAAAAAGGAAAATTGTTAGTAATTTGATGCTAATAAATATAAAATTTAAATAAAATAAATACTTTCCTGAATATGTAGGTGGCTTTTTATTTTTTTTTGGTTTATGGAATCTTAAAATCTTAAAAACTTTAAAAATTTTAAGAGAATATTTAAAATATAATGTTCATTTTTTAAACCAATAATTGTTTGTTATTTTCTGACTAATCATGATTTTATCACGTGATTTACCCCTGTTTTAGATGACCCCTTATATAGTATTTTTTACGAAATATTATTAGCTCAAAGTGCGGTATGTAAGGACAAAAGTAAAAAGAATTTTATTTGTGAAAAAAAATACTAAGTAAGTACTATATGTGAGAAAATCTCCTGTCTCACAGATCTGTCGTATAATCAGTATATTACATTATTGTGTAGATTATTTCTGGAAAATGATTTCAGCAAAAAGTATCCAGCCTAACAATCACTACTCTAGACTTGAAAAATTGAATCAGAAATTGGTATTGAATAACTTTAGCAATGACTCATAATCGTCTATCTTATAACAATTGACGTAAAACTAGAGGCCTGTTCACAACCAATCTAAAGCAATATTTGCAACTGCAAAATTTTAAAAAATATGATCATACGTACGATGCAAAGTTAAATTATATGATCATTATTAATCAAAAGAATAATGACCTGAAAGGTATATTCGACTTTGATGAGCTTACTAGCTTCTTAGGGACAAATCAGTGCTATGATTGTATTAACAGAGTAAAATTAATTCGGAATACTTTCTTATATAGTCAGATAAATAATGATTTGTAATACTTTATTTATGAAATAAAAATGTTGCCGGTAACTGGCTTATAATACATAAACTGCGAATATTTTGCTTCACATAATATGAATAAAAAATACTATTTTTTAATGAGAACATCTTCTAAATTTACTCTTGCTCTTCAATAATCTGTTACCAAAGATAATGATAGTAAGAATAACACTCAATAAATTTCAGTTATAATGGATATGCAAAAGCATCTTTTGGCTAAATTACTCACACAGCTTCTTAATGTAGTCCTCAAGCTCCAATACTGACCTCAATCCTATTCTGAATTCTCTAAATTCCTGTCTGGTTAACTTGAGAAATAAATAACCAGTAATATTTTCCCTCAAGTCTCGTAAAAAAGCCATCACCAAGTTCTATATGACTTAATTCAGAATCTTTCTGCAAAAAATTAATAAGTCTTTCTGTTTCGTATTCTTCTAACCTATCAGCTAGAGTGAAGCTGAAAGACATCTTGCTTTGTTTGCTAAAGCAAACCCCATAGTGAGAAAAAACTCATTCCTATACATATATAATTTATGATATATACTGGGGGGAGGGGGGACAAAAGTATTGCACGCTTTTATTTTTTCAATAATTTTTTATTTTTTACAGAAACATACAAATT